TTATAACATACAACCAGTGACGTCAGTGTAATATTTATAGCATACAACCAGTGACGTCAGTGTAATATTTATAACATAAATCCAGTGACAACAATGACATGCTTGTACTATACATGTACCACCAGTGATGTCAATGTATAGATTATTATAACATACAAAAATGATGACTTGTTCTTTATATAGTAATAAGTGGCGACAATGTATAAATGACATACAACTACATTTTATAAAAAAAATGTTGTTAATCGGCATACATACACATTTATCCCTAATTGGTTGACGAATGCGTTTTCGTAGTAACCATTGATCAAAGGTGGATTAACTTTGATAATTTGATACTTGAGTAATTAGGTTATGCTAATGTATACTTTTAAGTTTTGCAGTGTAATGGATGGAAGTGTTTGATATGTATATGCTTACAATTCTAGTATCCGTCCGTTTTCCAGAATGCTAAGTTAACATCCGGTAACGAGGAACAGCTTACACGAGCATTCCTGAAAATAAACAAATACGGAAATTGTTTGATATTTAATTATTCTGGAAAGTCAGCTCTAATCGTATCCATGTACCAGTGTACTATGTATAGNACATACAACCAGTGACGGCAATGTAATACTTGTATTATACATACAAATAGTGACGACAATGTTATACTTGTATTATACATACAACCAGTGACGGCAATGTAATACTTGTACTATACCTGTATCATCAGTGACGTCAATGTGATACTTGTAGAATACCTTTATCATCAGTGACANAAATGGTGTACATCTATGTACCAGTGTACTATGTATATATAAAATGCTGTACATCGNTGTACTATACCTGTATCATCAGTGACGTCAATGTGATACTTGTACTTTACATGTACNTAAAATGGTGTACATCTATGTACCAGTATACCATGTATATATAAAAGGTGTACATCTATGTACCAGTGTACCATGTATATATAAAATGATGTACATCTATGTACCAGTATACTATGTATATATAAAATGGTGTAAGAAAACCGTGGACGATAGCCATCGATGGCAATTGGTTCATTTGTTGGGAAAATTAATTGAATGTTTTGTGATTCAGTGTAGCACTTACTTTGAACAGACAGTCCTGAATGCCAAAGGCTGCATCTTGCTGACTTCTATGTTGTTACATATCATTTTGGAGAGACTAGCCTTCCTGATCTCGGCAAGCTGGACTGCAAACACATGGAAGAAACATAACGCACATTTTACATACATATAGAGATCGAGATATTGAAACAAATACACAATACGACGTTAATACTTCAGCTGTTACCTGAATTCAGTCCAAGTGAGCCTATGTTGTTTTCGTACCAATATCGGTCTCCTACTTTCAGTTGCTGGTACTGATATGCGATGATACAGGCAAAGGTGGGACCGATAATTCCTTCCCGAATCGAGTTCTCTGACATGGCGCCAGCATACAAGTCTATGTCATCGGTGTGGCTGTAGGGGTACATCAACGACACATGTGTATAGATAGGGTACAAACATTGACACGTGTATATCAATAAGGTACAGACAGTGACACGTATGTATCAATAGGGTACACACAGTGACACGTGTGTATCAATAGGGTACAAACAGTGACACGTGTGTATCAATAGGATACAAACATTGACACGTGTATATCAATAAGGTACAGACAGTGACACGTATGTATCAATAGGGTACAAACAGTGACACGTGTGTATCAATAGGGTACAAACAGTGACACGTGTGTATCAATAGGATACAAACATTGACACGTGTATATCAATAAGGTACAGACAGTGACACGTATGTATCAATAGGGTACAAACAGTGACACGTGTGTATCAATAGGGTACAAACAGTGACACGTGTGTATCAATAGGATACAAACATTGACACGTGTATATCAATAAGGTACAGACAGTGACACGTATGTATCAATAGGGTACAGACAGTGACACGTATGTATCAATAGGGTACAAACAGTGACACGTGTGTATATCAATAGGGTACAGACAGTGACACGTATGTATCAATAGGGTACAAACAGTGACACGTGTGTATCAATAGGGTACAAACAGTGACACGTGTGTATCAATAGGGTACAAACACGGACACGTGTGCATCAATAGGGTACAAACAGTGACCCGTGTGTATCAATAAAGTACAGACAGTGAGACATGTGTATCAATAGGGTACAAACAGTGACACGTGTGTATCAATAATGTACAGACAGTGACAAATGTCCATCAATAGGGTACAAACAGTGACACGTGTGTATCAATAATGTACAGACAGTGACAAATGTCCATCAATAGGGTACAAACAGTGACACGTGTGTATATCAATAAGGTACAGACAGTGACACGTGTGTATCGATAGGGTACAGACAGTGACAAATGTGTATCAATAGGGTACAGACAGAGACACGTGTGTATATCAATAAGGTACAGACAGTCACACGTGTCTATCGTTAGGGTACAGACAGTGACACGTGTATATCAATAAGGTACAAACAGTGGCACATGTGTATCAATAAGGAACAGACAGTGACAAATATATATCAATAGGGTACACACAGTGACATGTGTGTACATTTTATATCAAAAGGGCACAGACGGTGACATGTGTGCACAATGTATATCAATAGGGTTTAGACAGTGACACGTGTGTATCGATAGGGCACAGACAGTGACACATGTGTATAGATAGGGTACAGACAGTGACAAATGTGTATCGATAGGGTATAGACAGTGACATGTTTGTATATCAATAAGGTACAGACAGTCAAACTTGTGTATCGATAGGGTACAGACAGAGACACGTGTGTATATCAATAAGGTACAGACAATGACACGTGTGTCTCGATAGGGTACAGACAGTCACACGTGTGTATCAATAGGGTACAGACAGAGACACGTGTGTATATCAATAAGGTACAGACAATGACACGTGTGTATCGATAGGGTACAGACAGTGACAAATGTGTATCAATAGGGTACAGACAGTTACATGTGTGTATATCAATAAGGTACAGACAGTCAAACTTGTGTATCGATAGGGTACAGACAGTGACAAATGTCTATCAATAGGATACAGACAGAGACAAGTGTGTATATCAATAAGGTACAAACAGTGGCACATGTTTATCAATAAGGAACAGACAGTGACAAATGTATATCAATAGGGTACACACAGTGACATGTGTGTATCAATAGAGTACAGACAGTGACAAATGTGCATCAATAGGGTACAGACAGTGACAGGTGTGTATATCAATAAGGTACAGACAGTGACACGTGTGTATCAATAAGGTACAGACAGTGACACGTGTGTATATCAATAAGGTACAGAGAGTCACACGTGTGTATCGATAGGGTACAGAGAGTGACAAATGTCTATCAATAGGGTACAGACAGTGACACGTGTGTATCGATAGGGTACAGACAGTGACAAATGTGTATCAATAGGGTACAGACAGTGACATGTGTGTATATCAATAAGGTACAGACAGTCAAACGTGTGTATCGATAGGGTACAGACAGTGACAAATGTCTATCAATAGGGTACAGACAGTTACATGTGTATAGATAGGGTAGAAACAGTGACACATGTGAATCAATAAGGTACAGACAGTGACACATTTATATATCAATAGGGTACAAACAGTGACACATGTGTATCAATAGGGTACAAACAACGACATATGTGTATAGATATAGATATAGGGCACACACATTGACACGTTTATATCAGTAGGGTACAAACAGTGACACGTGTGTATCAATAAAGTACAGACAGTGACACGTGTGTATCGATAGGGTACAGACAGTGACAAATGTGTATCAATAGGATACAGACAGTGACACGTGTGTATATCAATAACGTACAGACAGTCACACGTGTGTATCGATAGGGTACAGAAGTGACACGTGTGTATATCAATAAGGTACAGACAGTCACACGTGTGTATCGATAGGGTACAGACAGTGACAAATGTCTATCAATAGGGTACAGACAGAGACACGTGTGTATATCAATAAGGTACAAACAGTGGCACATGTGTAACAATAAGGAACAGACAGTGACACATTTATATATCAATAGGGTACAAACACTGACACGTGTGTATTAATAGGGTACAAACAACGACACATGTGTATAGATATAGAGCACAAACATTGACACGTTTATATCAATAAGGTACAGACAGTGACAAATGTGTATCGATAGGGTACAGACAGTGACATATGTGTATCGATAGGGTACAGACAGTGACAAATGTGTATCAATAGGGTACAAACAGTGACACGTGTATATCAATAAGGTACAGACAGTGACAAATGTATATCAATAGAGTACACACAGTGACATGTGTGTACATTGTATATCGATAGGGCACAGACGGTGACACGTGTGTACATCGTATATTAATAGGATACACACGGTGACACGCATGTACAATGTATATCAATAGGGGCCAGATGGAGTCACATGTGTATAAATAGGGAACAAGCAGTGACACGTGTATATCACTAGGGTACAAACAATGACATGTGTGTATAGAAAAGGTATAAACATTGACACCTGTGAGTTAATAGGGTACAGACGGTGACACGTGTGTATCATTAGGGTACGTACGGCGACACGTGTTTATCAATAACGTACAAACACTGACACGTGTGCATCAATAGGGTACAGACAGTGACACGTGTGTATATCAATAAGGTACAGACAGTGACAAATGTATATCAATAGAGTACACACAGTGACATGTGTGTACATTGTATATCAATAGGGCACAGACGGTGACACGTGTGTACATCGTATATTAATAGGATACACACGGTGACACGCATGTACAATGTATATCAATAGGGGACAGATGGTGTCACATGTGTATAAATAGGGTACAAGCAGTGACACGGGTATATCACTAGGGTACAAACAATGACATGTGTGTATAGAAAAGGTATAAACATTGACACCTGTGAATTAATAGGGTACAGACGGTGACACGTGTGTATCAATAGGGTACATACGGCGACACGGGTTTATCAATAACGTACAAACACTGACACGTGTGCATCAATAGGGTACAGACAGTGACACGTGTGCATCAATAGGGTACAAACATTGACACGTGTGTATCAATAGGGTATTAACAGTGACACGTGTATATCAATAGAGTATTAACATTGACACGTGTGTATCAATAGGGTACACACATTGACACTATGAATTGATAGAGTACAGGCAGTGACACGTGTGTATCAATAGGGTACGAACTCAGACACGTGTCTTTATCTCATCGAGTCTATATTAATGTCTGGGAACAAACACATATGTATAGCAAAACAGTGTATACAAGGTTAATATCACCATATAATAGTAACGCATCATATCGACTACTTATAACAGGAGGTTGATAAACACTGTACCTATAGACGCTTTTTAGCGCCGCGGCAGCGTCTCTGGAGTGATGTAATAAACCCCCGGAGACGCCAGCCTGGAAAGTGTTGGCCTTTGACAAGCCGCACCACTGTCGCCAAACGTTGTAAGACGGCAGACCATGGTCCCTTCCTCTGTTGATATTGATGGCAGAAAGGTCCATAGTGCGGCCAAGCTTGTCAGGGAAAAGCTTATTTCGAACACCTGCCTCAATAAACCTACAAGCAAATAAATAGATAATCTTTACATTTTCTGGTAAGACAGTTTTAATGGAAAAAGTGAAATGTTCGCACTTGAATTTGTTCTTTAATGTTTTTGACTGAAACATAGTAATCTGCAAAAGCATGTCTAACATATAAAATGGAAGTCATCTGTTTATAAGATATTTGAGGGTAATTAACGTGTCGACGAAGGCGTGCATGTCCTTGTCTACCTGTCGACTATGAAGTAAGTGTAAGAACGTATTCTGCATTTGCATTTGGTTCATCTAACCACTTTTAGTTATATGATTGGATAATTCAATGGATACATAATGGTGTACCCACCTGTCGACTTTTGAGGACTTGGCGTTGCTGAGCCAGAGGAGCACGCCCTCATAGCCCTTGCCCTTGTTCTCTTCACACAGATGTGGTCTATGGAAGGTTGATTCAATGGCAACTGTTTTAGTGGGAACATGAGATGGACTGTACTGCGACTGTATGTTGGTTATCTGAGAATGGCCGAAACGGAAAGCGGCGGCGCCGAACACATTGGCAACAGTTGCATCTGCGGTGTCTTTGTATAAGTAACTATAACCGGAAGTGCGTAATTCCAATTTAAATGCCTTTAGGTACGCCTTGTTTAAGATGACTGGTAGGTACTCGTTATATACGATATGTTGCATCATGGCGATGATGATCTTCCTACCCTCATAGAAGAGCCTGTCGTCGTCCCAGGTCGGGTTGTGTTTGGCGAGAATCTTAACCACGCGGTTGTGTTCCCTCACCCACAGCAGATGAACGGCGGACAAATTTGGAATTACATTCACCCGCTTGTCACCTGTAATGGATCATAAATGTTTTACTACAGCTAGACCAGGCTAGAGTAAACACATACATGTCATCACAACACAAAATACCCGGACAATATCTTAAATGTTTCCTTTTTGAGTCATAGGACATGTTGAGGAAGTGTTGGAACGAAAATGTTTAAAACATTTAAAACATTTATTTCTCAGAATTCAGAAACAAATCTAAGGCGAGTTAAGTTGGCCTCATCATGGAACAATTCAAGTTCGTGTTTATTTTATATAATTATAATAATAATAATTCGAGGTTCTTATATACCGCTTTATCACAACCTAGTTCGTAGGTCGTCTCAAAGCGGTTCACACATTATTATCCGTGGTAATAGGGCCTTTGTAACCAGCCAATATCTCAACTCCATGGTGAGCATACATATATACCGATCATACGGACACTGTTTTTAAATATAAATATTCACATTTAGGCGAATACACACACAGTTATTTCGTACTGATGTATCTCAGAGAGAATAACACTTTCTGTGTATTTGAATTGTCTTGTAGGCTAACGTTTTGGATATTCAACGACGAGTTCTAAGAAACCTACCTCATTTTCCGACTCTAGCCGAGTCACTCAAGGAAAACTCTGGACACTAAATTATATCTTTATTGCAACGCTTTCTAGTTTTACCAACACAACCAAAACCTCGTCCAAACATATCACAAGTACGTTATCAGTTATACAATAATATAGGGTCTGTAAGATGAGTGGACTACAAAATAAGTTACTGCTGATCTTACCTGCGTTCTGACAGTAGTCTTCCTTCACGTCTTTGAAGCATGGCCCTTTACCGACCGGCAGTCGATTGTAAATGTCCACCTTCAACAAACCTGTAAGTAATTTTGGGTAATATTACTTGCTTGAATGTGTCGGGTTGAAGCGAAAACATACATAGCTTATGGAGAGTTGTGGTCTGGGAATTTGGGTGGAAAAGTACGTTGCAATTCTTTAAATATTCAGCAATGAGATTTAGAAATATGTATTAAATTTAACTGTCTCCATATTGCTGACACGATACCCAGATATATATCTGACGACCTGGTGACGCTAGCATTTTTTTAATTTGCTATAGAACATTTGATAGAAGTGGATTTTCTTTATCGACGCAAATAATATGGATTTGTTATCACAAATGATGTTTAAACGACAGTATTTGTAAGTAGAATAAACAACACTACTGTTATTGTTACTATAATAATTTGGAATAAAACAATAAATGTTAAAGTTGAATAAAACACTCGTGCTTCATATATTTTATAACGTTACGTTATATAAAAATCGATGATGATTGAAGTCTAATTGTCGCTTTCCTACAATGGCAGATTTAGGTTATTAAAAAAACAACGTACGTAAATTCGTAGCTTTTCGGACTATCAATAACTAATAATATAAATAATTCAAAAACGGGTTTCCAGCGTTTGGATAGTGTGTCGTCGGGTATGCTGGCCCGATCGTTTTAAGTTTAAGCTGATCATATCCGAAGTTCTAATATTCTTCAGGTCATCAACAGAACCAAACGTTACCTTGTTTGTTCACGTTGTCTCGGAGCTCCGTCATTTTCATTTTGGTTGACCCATATACATTGGATGCATCCACGTATGACGTCACTTCATTCAGCTGGCCCCGGTACCCTAGGAATGGATTCAAACGGAATAACATCTCTCATTAATGTAATTACCACTTTACTTCTGATCGTTATGAATGACATACGATTCAGCTACCCTAAAAAATTGTCTGTTATACTCACCATACAACTTAGCTACCCTAATAAACTGTCTGTTATACTCACCATACAACTGAGCTATCCTAATAAACTGTCTGTTATACTCACCATACAACTGAACTACCCTAATAAACTGTCTGTTATACTCACCATACAACTTAGCTATCCTAATAAACTGTCTGTTATACTCACCATACAACTGAGCTACCCTAATAAACTGTCTGGTTTACTCACCATACAACTGAGCTACCCTAATAATCTGTCTGCTATACTCACCATACAACTGAGCTACCCTAATAAACTGTCTGTTATACTCACCATACAACTGAACTACCGTAATAAACTGTCTGTTATACTCACCATTCAACTGAGCTACCCTAATAAACTGTCTGTTAAACTCACCATACAACTGAGCTACCCTAATACACTGTCTGTTATACACACCATATAACTGAGCTACCCTAATACACTCTATGTTATACTCACCATACAACTGAGCTACCCTAATAAACTGTCTGTTATACTCACCATACAACTGAGCTACCCTAATACACTGTCTGTTTTACTCACCATACAACTGAGTTACCCTAATAAACTGTCTGTTAAACTCACCATACAACTGAGCTACCCTAATAAACTATCTGTTATACTCACCATACAACTGAGCTACCCTTATAAACTGTCCGTTATACTCAACATACAACTGAGCTACCCTAATAAACTGTCTGTTAAACTCACCATCCAACTGAGCTACCCTAATACACTGTCTGTTATACACACCATATAACTGAGCTACCCTAATACACTCTATGTTATACTCACAATACAACTGAGCTACCCTAATAAACTGTCTGTTAAACTCACCATACAGTCTGTTATACACACCATATAACTGAGCTACCCTAATACACTCTATGTTATACTCACAATACAACTGAGCTACCCTAATAAACTGTCTGTTAAACTCACCATCCAACTGAGCTACCCTAATACACTGTCTGTTATACTCACCATACAACTGAGCTAACCTAATAAACTGTCTGTTAAACTCACCATACAACTGAGCTACCCTCAGACACTGTCTGTTACACTCACCATAAAACTGAGCGACCCTAATAAACTGTCTGTTATACTCACCATACTACTGAGCTACCCTAATACACTGTCTGTTTTACTAACCATACAACTGAGTTACCCTAATAAACTGTCTGTTAAACTCACCATACAACTGAGCTACCCTCATACACTGTCTGTGTCACTCACCAAAAAACTGAGCTACCCTAATAAACTGTCTGTTATACTCCCCATACAACTGAGCTACCCTAATACACTGTCTGTTTTACTAACCATACAACTGAGTTACCCTAATAAACTGTCTGTTATACTCACCATAAAACTGAGCTACCCTAATAAACTGTCTGTTATACTCCCCATACAACTGAGCTACCCTAATAAACTGTCTGTTAAACTCACCATCCAACTGAGCTACCCTAATACACTGTCTGTTATACACACCATATAACTGAGCTACCCTAATACACTCTATGTTATACTCACAATACAACTGAGCTACCCTAATAAACTGTCTGTTATACTCGCCATACAACTGAGCTACCCTAATACACTGTCTGTTTTACTCACTATACAACTGAGTTACCCTAATAAACTGTCTGTTATACTCACCATACTACTGAGCTACCCTAATACACTGTCTGTTTTACTAACCATACAACTGAGTTACCCTAATAAACTGTCTGTTAAACACACCATACAACTGAGCTACCCTAATAAACTGTCGGTTATACTCACCATACAACTGAGCTACCCTAATAGACTGTCTGTTATACTCACCATACAACTGAGCTAACCTAATAAACTGTCTGTTAAACTCACCATACAACTGAGCTACCCTAATAAACTGGCTGTTATACTCACCATACAACTGAGCTACCCTAACAAACTGTCTGTTATACTCACCATACAACTGAGCTGCCCTAATACACTGTCTGTTATGCTCACCATACAACTGAGCTACCCTAATGAACTTTCTGTTATACTCACCATACAACTGATCTATCCTAATAAACTCTCTGTTATACTCACTGTTATACTCACCATACAACTGAGCTACCCTAATCCACTGTCTGTTTTACTCACCATACAACTGAGTTACCCTAATAAACTGTCTGTTATACTCACCATACAACTGATCTACCCTAATACACTGTCTGTTATACTCACCATACAACTGAGCTAACCTAATAAACTGTCTGTTAAACTCACCATACAACTGAGCTACCCTCATACACTGTCTGTGTCACTCACCAAAAAACTGAGCTACCCTAATAAACTGTCTGTTATACTCCCCATACAACTGAGCTACCCTAATACACTGTCTGTTTTACTCACTATACAACTGAGTTACCCTAATAAACTGTCTGTTAAACACACCATACAACTGAGCTACCCTAATAAACTGTCTGCTATACTCACCATACAACTGAGCTACCCTAATACACTGTCTGTTATGCTCACCATACAACTGAGCTACCCTAATGAACTTTCTGTTATACTCACCATACAACTGATCTATCCTAATAAACTCTCTGTTATACTCACCATACAACTGAGCTACCCTTATAAACTGTCCATTATACTCAACATACAACTGAGCTACCCTAATAAACTGTCTGTTATACTCACCATACAACTGAGCTACCCTAATAAACTGTCTGTTATACTCACCATACAACTGAGCTACCCTAATAAACTGTCTGTTATACTCACCATACAACTGAGCTACCCTAATAAACTGTCTGTTATACTCACCATACAACTGAGCTACCCTAATAAACTGTCTGTTATACTCACCATACAACTGAGCTACCCTAATAAACTGTCTGTTATACTCACCATACAACTGAGCTACCCTAATAAACTGTCTGTTATACTCACCATACAACTGAGCTACCCTAATAAACTGTCTGTTATACTCACCATACAACTGAGCTACCCTAATAAACTGTCTGTTATACTCACCATACAACTGAGCTACCCTAATAAACTGTCTGTTATACTCACCATACAACTGAGCTACCCTAATAAACTGTCTGTTATACTCACCATACAACTGAGCTACCCTAATAAACTGTCTGTTATACTCACCATACAACTGAGCTACCCTAATAAACTGTCTGTTATACTCACCATACAACTGAGCTACCCTAATAAACTGTCTGTTATACTCACCATACAACTGAGCTACCCTAATAAACTGTCTGTTATACTCACCATACAACTGAGCTACCCTAATAAACTGTCTGTTATACTCACCATACAACTGAGCTACCCTAATAAACTGTCTGTTATACTCACCATACAACTGAGCTACCCTAATAAACTGTCTGTTATACTCACCATACAACTGAGCTACCCTAATAAACTGTCTGTTATACTCACCATACAACTGAGCTACCCTAATAAACTGTCTGTTATACTCACCATACAACTGAGCTACCCTAATAAACTGTCTGTTATACTCACCATACAACTGAGCTACCCTAATAAACTGTCTGTTATACTCACCATACAACTGAGCTACCCTAATAAACTGTCTGTTATACTCACCATACAACTGAGCTACCCTAATAAACTGTCTGTTATACTCACCATACAACTGAGCTACCCTAATAAACTGTCTGTTATACTCACCATACAACTGAGCTACCCTAATAAACTGTCTGTTATACTCACCATACAACTGAGCTACCCTAATAAACTGTCTGTTATACTCACCATACAACTGAGCTACCCTAATAAACTGTCTGTTATACTCACCATACAACTGAGCTACCCTAATAAACTGTCTGTTATACTCACCATACAACTGAGCTACCCTAATAAACTGTCTGTTATACTCACCATACAACTGAGCTACCCTAATAAACTGTCTGTTATACTCACCATACAACTGAGCTACCCTAATAAACTGTCTGTTATACTCACCATACAACTGAGCTACCCTAATAAACTGTCTGTTATACTCACCATACAACTGAGCTACCCTAATAAACTGTCTGTTATACTCACCATACAACTGAGCTACCCTAATAAACTGTCTGTTATACTCACCATACAACTGAGCTACCCTAATAAACTGTCTGTTAAACTCACCATACAACTGAGCTACCCTAATAAACTGTCTGTTATACTCACCATACAACTGAGCTACCCTTATAAACTGTCTGTTACACTCGCCATACAACTGAGTTACCCTAATACACTGTCTGTTATACTCACCATACAACCGAGCTTCACATATTAACTTCCTGTTACATTATATATATATTACATACGAATAAACTACCCTACTCTCATAAACTGACTGGTATATATTACATACGAATCAACTACCCTACTCTCATAAACTGACTGCTATATATTACATACAAATCAACTACCCTTCTCTCATAAACTGACTGCTATATATTACATACGAATCAACTACCCTACTCTCATAAACTAACTGCTATATATTACATACGATTGAGCAACCCTATTTATTACATACGATTGAGCAACCCTATATATTACATACGATTGAGCAACCCTATTTATTACATACTATCGAGATTACCTTATCAACGCGTCTACATCATTATGCGAGGTTGCACTCGCTGACTTAATTGTAAATTCTCTCTTATTTTAAAACAATAGATTGGCCACGCTTTCCCTATGAGTTGAAGACAGAACAAATGACAAAGTATCTCTGTATCAGCTGTTTGTTTCTTGGACGATTAGACATGCATAGAAAAAGACTAGATTTATGATATTCGCTGTCGCTTTTAAGCTTAATAAGCTTTATTTGAAAGTGTGTAAATGGTTATACCATACCTCTCAAATTGTCATCGACAGCAGCGGAGGATCTGACAAAGTTCATGCAGGACTCTTTGATGTGGGGATCATCCTGAGGCACGAAGATAGGAAAGCACTCGGGTCTGCACAGATAAATACATCTCTACATTTCACTTAATTTACTTGTCATTACAATGTTGCAGGTACCGCGCCATACAAATAAATTAGCAATAGAATATTATTTCGAAGATGTATTTGTAAGAGAGCTGTTATCATCCTCACCTGGATGATGTGGCCGTGGAGAGGCAACAGCTGATTCCTGCTCCACCCTCACCTACAAAACAGTGAAAACATCAGATTTGGTGTGTATAAATTGCCGCTACGTTACTCGGCAGGCGTACCTAACCTTCCAACCGACAAATTATTCTTACAAATCAAACATTCGTCATATTTGAATTTGAATTTGGAATCAATGTTTGTATAAACAATTCCTCCTAAGGTGCCAGTATAATCTGTATATTATAACACACAAAAATGTGCTATCTTAGAAAAGGCTGGTACAAACATTGTCGTCGTGAAAAGAACAATAATGGTATCGTGCATGCGGGGACAACTTTGTGACGGTCTTGACGGTCTTGATTTACAACGAGATGGTTGCCTCCACAAAATTGCGATACTCAACCATATGCATGATGACTGCAACTAATATGACCCAAACGTAGTGGCGTTACTTAAATTTGATGATAGCAGTAGATATGACACACATGTGCATTTGTAGTGGCGATATGTCCCAAACGCATTGGCGATACTCACCTTTGATTAATGCAGTGCATTCATTTCTTCTACATGTAGTGGCGATGCTTACATTTAAGGAATACAGAGAGGATGAAATAATGTAGTTGCGGTACTTACCTTTTCGGAATGTATTGAATATATTTCCCTAATGTAGTGGTGATACTCACCTTAGGGTACTGCAGTGAAGATGAAATAAGGTCATGGCGTTACTCACCTTTGATGACCGGAGTGAAGACAAGGTCATGGTCAAGAAACTGGCCGAATGACATATGCATAGATGTGACATCTGGGGAGAGTCTCGACGCCAAACCTGCATTGAACACGCGGTTACTGATCACACGTGGGCTTGGCAGGTCGTGACTCAAGACAGACTTTGTCCGCGGACTGTCAATACCTGTCGACAAATGTTACTTAGATTTAGTCGCACCAAGACTTGGTAATCACATGCTTGATGAAAGATCACGCAAAGGCACTCTTGTGTATTTGGATTCTAGTTTTAAATAAAGAAACATAAGAAATCTTAAATTTAGAAAAATTATGAAACATTGATCAAAACAATAAATTTGGTATACGTAACGTACCGTTTTGATAAGCAGGCCGACGGTAGCGCCTCTGCACCCTAAAGGCCATGCCCCATTTTGGTTTTTTTAAGTTATTACATGATCCGTCAATGGTTCGAAATCTCGAGTTGGCATCACATACCAGAGGAGGCTGCGTAGCGCAGTACTTAGCTAACAGTGCTTTCAACGCAGCCTGCCAGCTACTGTTGTACAATAACTGATCAACGTTTGTGTGGGTGCTGAAAACATAAACAATATAATATATATAATACGATAATATGGATGACAGATAGCACCCAAAAGATCTATGGGCATTGTAGGATGGCGTGGATGGCCCTACAGACGTATTGGGTTGTTAGAGTGTGTGACTGGTACACAGTGTACACACAACCTAAGCTTGTGTTTAGACGTAAACAACAATGAATGTGCGGAATACTTTGGATATCGGAGCGATAAAACAGCGTTCATGGTGTAGAAGTTATTTCCTGTCGGTGAGTAAAACAATGTAACGCATGAATTTGTACATGTGTAGATCTGATTGTGTGAGCTGCGTTCAAAACAATGAGAAAAATTAAAACTGGAAGTTCAAACTACTGTGATGTTACCTAAAATGAAAGTTACTTATAGTAAAACTTCCTCACTGATTATGCTTTGTGGGGTTGGTGTGGGAAACCATACGTACATCCTCTGGATCTCCTGGACCAACAACAGTTCGAGGTAAGCACATTTGTTGATAGCCCCCGAAACAGGTGAGGGCGCTGCGAACATGTCCAATTGATGTGAGTACACCTGCGAGTCATCCGAGTCTACACCTGTAACAGACGGGTCTAACAATACAGTCGTGAGCTCAGCTCTGAACACAAACTCATATTACATGAATTGAATGATGTTGTGCAATGTCTGTTGACGAAGTGGGTAAAGATATACATATTGAATGTAACACACCGCTTCCTGACATTGCCAAACGGTTTTGGTAGTAAATGCATAATACAAGATCAAGTGACCAATTGCTTTGCTTTAAAAAACTGAGATCTAAACAGTAAGATATACTTTATTAAGTAGAACAATAAAGTGTTCTTAACATATATCGAATCATTAAATGGAATGTGTTCAATTACATGAAATATTGGTACAACGAGTAGTCAGCTATAATCTTTGATGCTAACATGCCTGACCTTGAACGTATGTTTGAGAATCAAAAGGAAACGTTAGTGAACGACCAAGAGATTTGATGGTTTTATACATGCTTGAAGAATGGCAGTATCTATAATATATAGCGTCTATTCCACACGCCTTGTTTTTTGCGTTGACTACTAACAGAGAGGATGTTTTTATGACGTACCTGAAATGACAAAGTCATGATTTTGTTTTATATCCTGGTTGAGGGCTAAAGTTCCAGCTTTAATTGCCGTCAAAAGTGTTTGTGTTATTGTCCCGCCCTGCACTTCAATTGTCATAGTGCTCGTGCTACTGCTTGTCATTGTACTGCTCGAGACCAACTCTTGACGCTTTTTCCGGGATAACTCCGTGTCGTCCTCACGCTTGTCCCGAGAAAACTCTGTTTCGTCCTCACGCTTATCCCGAGATAACTCCGTGTCGTCCGCACGCTTGTCCCGAGATAACTCTATGTCGTTCTCGCGTTTAACTCTTGATCGTTGTGTGTCCATTGTCACTACACACGTGACAATCAGCATCAGCATAGCGCCCCATTTTAATACGTGCGCCATTACACCTGTAAAATGACGCTTTATTTTAAAATAGATATACATCTTTTTTAACATATATGACTGTATACAAACAGTTTGTTTAAAAACCATATACTGAAAGAAATTACGGCGAAAAATGAAACACAATGTTCTTTGATGATTTTAATGTAAATACACTGCTGATGTTATGCAACAGAGCATTTTTGTACATATTCCATTAAAATCAATATCACATCTTGTCGAAGATGTTTAACGGAACAGAAATTAAGAAAAGTAACCAAAGTAAACAAAAATGTGGACAGCAATCCCTCGACGTCAGGTCACTCCATCGCCAAAAGGCAATATCCTGCCAACTTTCAAACCACAGACACTGATCTGAATCAACCACCTTGACAACCGGAGTCTAGGAATGTCAATTCATGTCGTCCCTACAGACACCATCAGGCCGACCCAAAGTCTAGGAATGTCAATTCATGTCGTCCCCACAGACACCATCAGGCCGACCCAAAGTCTAGGAATGTCAATTCATGTCGTCCCCACAGACACCATCAGGCCGACCCAAAGTCTAGGAATGTCAATTCATGTCGTCCCCACAGACACCATCTGCTGAGAATATCAGCATATAGACAGCAGACATGTAACGATGAGGACTATGTTGTCAGTTCACTTAACAAACTACAATCAATTTGAAATAAAACAGCAAAAGTGTTAAATGTCATTTGCTACATTCATACATCCCAAATACTCTTTGTTCTTGTAGCTTCACACGTGGTGTATTGGACTTCGTTGGACACTTTCCAATTTGCTCTTTGAAACTAATCTAATGATGCTGAGGATCTAAACACCAGGTGAATTTCTGAACAAGGTTTAATTAGCAAAAGGTATGGCTCCGACGCTCATCAAACTCATCAACTCATCTCATTTAGTCTGCTATGAATAAGCAGTTCTATCACATTGTTAAACTTATCAAAAAACTTTTTACACATGAAAACATTGCTCTCCCTTATTTATACTATAATTCGCATATACATATTTTCGAAGGAATTTGGGTAGGAATTTCGATTGTTTGGGTGATTTGCTTTTTAACATCCCGTGCAGTGACAGTCAGAGTAATTGGAGTAAGTGGTTACGGTACTGGCAAAATGTGGTATATTTACTTAAAAACCGTAAGCGACATACATTCGGGAATGATTTGGGTTTTGTTGATTGATCTTCCAAACTATCAAAACGACATCTATTTTCTTCGAAAGGAGAGGCTGGTTGTTTGTCTTTATTTTCGTGTTAACGGGGTTATTGACCTCTTGACCTTACAGGACCTCATCGTATAGAAATTGTTCTTCGTGAATGCGTTATCGTTATCATAGCGAAGGTTCGATACTCCAGGGGGTTACGCTTACTTTCGCTCTCAGCACCACTGGAATATTTCATGACAAAATCGAAGGCTCAGTGTGCACTACCTTGTAGATGAGACAAAAACTTTAATGTACATCACAAGAATCGCTCGGCCGTGTAGCGGTAACAGTGACGGGCTTTAAAGTCGTGTGTCGCTCCTCTGTAATCTCCAAAGGTACCCATGGAGTATCGAGTATGTCAATAGCGGAAATAGTTAAACTTGATGAAGATGCCAAAATGGATTAATTTTATTCGATGTTCTCTCTTTGATTAAATATTAATTTTATCTGATAAATGCAGGTTTCCTTTAACAACGATTAAAATGTTTGTTGTACAATGTAGGGGATATCAGCTCACCTGAATAGAGAAATTATCATGGAAAGTTGATTCCTAAATTCGCGGCTCCAGCTGTTGCTACAATAGTCTGCTGTATAAGAATATATTCTGTAATATATGTTCATGTACTGTAATTGATACAGAGATCCCGAACGCTGTTTTTGGTCAATGAGTTTCCTTTGACTTGTAATATCGACATGTAGTCCAATGTAACACACAGTTCGAAATCAGACAGAATAAAGATCGAGGGCCATCTGTATCACGTTCCGGTTTCTTTTGACGCATAGCGCCAGATAAATATAGCTCATAGGTCAGTCATAATTTCATACTTTGAACGAGGGCTTTGGAAGTTTAAAGTTTTCATGTTTTTATAAAAACAAAAATTCGATTCACATCCGAAGCAGGCACATATACGTTGTGCCTGATGACCCTATCACCACGTCCATTGGCAGCTGTCACACCCTTTTAATACATTTATTAGTTTGTCCCTTGTCTTTTTACTACACTGTGAAGGTAATACTTATCTACGACATGAAATATCCTTCTTTGTGTCGACTTTATCCACGAACAATGTTGACTTATTCTAAAATAAGATGACTATCATTAAAAAAACATAGGAAGGCGAAATGAAACATCGTTTATGAATTATGAAGAAACAAAGACTCGATAACTTGTTGTGTGCTATTGTCTTCAGAAATGTATCATGTGTATTACATTGTACTTTATACTTATGTATATGTTTATTCTTTCAGGAAAGCTGCTCTTATACATTTGATTATAAATCCAAAGTCGTCATTACACTTCCAACGTGTGACAAACCTTAACTATATAAAGAAATGAAAAGGACAATCTCATTTAACCAGGTGAAACAGTTTACACCGTATCAAATCATCTCTAATATTTCATATTACCTTTGTCAACTTTCTTGTTTGAAGAAGATATTTCATTTCCAATATTTTATAAGAAATAGTAAAACATAATAAGTCGCAATATTGTCGCAATATTGTTATAATCTTATGAAGTAGATACCTGATTGGTATGTTTCATTGCTGGTAATAGATACATATACGGTATTTTTCTTCAATCTTTATTTTTTTTTCTTCATCGATATTTATATCGAACATTTATTTATCAATATATTAGATTATATGTTAAAATATAACTGACAATCAATTTATCAGTTTCTCCTCTATCATTTTGCAATTTTATCAAATCCAGGCATAAGTCGAAAATTGAAATTAAGTTTTAGTTGTAATAAATTCAAAGCCAATGCTTGTAATTCTTAATTAACCGCAATGACACAGATTGATCTGTGTCTCCAATTGTATCATGATATGGAATAAAAGTCTGTTGACAACTAAAACGGATCTTCTTCATGCTAGTTGTAAAACATTATATTAAACCAGTTATTCATTGTAAAGCGTCGAATACAATACATTTTACTTAAAGACTCGTTAAGATCGCCGTGCCCATTATCGTTTGCTCATGATAACAACCTTATTAGTTTCCTTTATGAAAGTTGCCGGACCAACATTCCATCATTAATACAGAAACAACCCGACGGTTTGGCGATTGAGTGTCCGTTTACCATATGATCACTTGACACACAAAGTAAGAAAGCACCTATTATTAAGTTCAGTTACTCGATGTAGAAACCAAACCAAAACACGTAAACATTCGTTGTGTCATACAGATACTTCATCCAATCAGGAGGCGTCAGTGGTATGAAAGGTTAATACATGAAAATGCTTGCCGAAAGTGTTCCGAAATAAATGTAAAACTGCATCAAAAGAAGACAGGTGTCTGTACAAACCTTTATAATGTTTAACATAGTACTGACAGGATCAATTCAGCAACAGGGTAACGGCCAACCTAATGGAGCAATATTTCTCACAAAACAATTAACCAAAACCCGATAAACATTATACCATTTATTTTAGTATAAATATGTTTGTTTATTCATCTGAGTTGATAGATTGATTGCCACCAAATGGTGTATAGTATGTGTATAACGCCTTCTAGTGTTCACTGTCCATAGTGCCAAAAGAAACTGTTTCTATAAATGGATTTTATGAACTAACTTCAATTGAAATTATAGCTTAGATATTGACAGATTTTTATGTTTAACAATTAAATATCATATTTGATGACTTAATACCATTGAAGCAACAGAAGCTTACCTTATACGACCCGCTATGACAACCTCTCACCTGCCTTTCTGCGAGATACTGATGCTGCAGATTGAGGGAGCACAATGAAAAAGGGGATTATCCAGTCTCCTATATATGGACACAGGTGTTAATTCTACAGGTACGTGTTTTACACTTATCCTACTGATCTGTACCTACTGATGTGTAAGAAGAGTCCGTACGTTTACACAGTGACAGGTGTATAACGTAATTAGGTGGAAGTTTTAACGTCACTCGAAAATTGCCAGATCGGAGGTGTGGCGTTCATTTAACAACACGTTCTAACTGCAAACTAATTTTAACTTAATTTGTAAAGGCTTACGTGTCTCCTCATACAAAACTTTAACTGAATTAAGATATTTTTAAAATTCTGTCGATGTTATATTGTAGAAGTATTTTTAATCAAAGTCGAACAGCTAGTGTCGTGTATTTTCCTTCTAATTGTTGAAACTTCAGGTATCTAAATTCCAGTATACCTATTGTAATGAAGCATTGACTTTGAATTATGAACGTTTCATTTTCATAAATTCCATGTCTCTTTCAGATTAAAAAAATACATATATTTTAAAAATCTTATGAGTAAAATGTCTGTGCTATGTTCTTTTGCTTAAGCCTCCATATTCTGTATTTCTATCACATATTTCTTTTTTTACGTTGAACATTTTGCTATTCCAAAGGAAAGAGTAAATCAGTTTGTTCGTTGTATTCGTACAATTTGTATAGTTTTGAAGAATAATAAGCTGTGGAAAACAGTATAAACAATTTTCATTCAAATCTCCAACATTTACAATTAAACCATTTTGTTATTTTAAAGTTATATCTTTAGTATTGATACCATGATGATGCAACATTCTAATGGTTTTATTCTACTTGTTCATGCTTTATAATTAAGATAGGAGTTCCGTCTCAACATCCCAATCAACATATGAACATTTCGCGCTCTTCCTCGCTTAATGAATACATCTTTTGTTTTTACTTGTGGTATACCATACAATAACCGCTAGAAAAGGGAATAAATGAAGCACGTATTTAAAACTTGTCTGTGTATATGCAGAAAGCCAAACAAAATAACATTTAACCGAATAAATGTCCACATCATCCATTCAGGTCTCTACAGTAGTAGTAAAGGTCAAACGTAACATATCCGAGGTAGATTACAGCGAAGAAAGAAAAGTACCTTTATAACCAAAAACACATTATAATGTAACAGATTCACACCTTTCTGCTACAAAAAAAAAATCATTATGCTTCAACTGGATTCATGAAAACTCTGGCAGCTACAAGGCTACTGTCATCCATAGAGATTGGTAGATCACGTATAATCATCTCAAGAAATTCCAGGAAATGAAGCACCAATTTCAATTTTTTCGATGATAAACTCAAAGAAACTATTTCACTGTAGTACTAAAATTATCAAAGCTAGGAGTTGTCCATTTCAAAGTTTCAAAACCATACCTTCTGTATTTTCCCAGCTCCAATCACCATACATTCTCCTCTTGTTTATGCTTTATCATTAAAGTTAGGAGTTGTCTGGTTCCACGCTCTAAGCAACATCTTTTTTGTCTTTTCATGAATGATATTTCAAATATTCTTAAGATTTTTCGGATCTGATTTCACGTTTTCTGTAATACAAATATGTTATTAAAAATCTAAATTTACTGGGTCCGCGTATATCCCGCTGATTTTGTCAGCATGACAATATTGTGATCTTCAACATCATTACTGACTATTTTTAAATCCAAAATGGGTAAAATGAGCATCATTTTAGATGATTTGTTGTTTTATTTTTATATTAACTTAAATTATTTTAGAAGTATGAACAAGTTTTTCCAACTTAAAGTAAACTTGAACTGAAAATACAATTGTTAGGATTGTCTCACAGTGGGACGGAGAAGAAGTTTGTTAATATTAAATTTCGGGTTATTGTCACCTTTTGTGAAATCAAAAATGAAAAAGACATCAGTTGACCTAATTATAGGGGGATTTTCCCAATAGATGGGTCTTATTTACCAGTAAACTACTAAATATACGCTGAAAAATATGTCTGGGCTGTCATTATCATAATTAGAGACAAATTATTTGTGTTTTATAAAGTTACTGGTCGATATATATCCCTCATTCACTGGAGATCAACTAGATTTTCTTACAAAAATGTTTGGTCGTGTTTATGACTACGGTCAATGTCAATGCTGAGGCGTTGAGTCATAGCTAGCAACCGACAATGGTATAGAGTTTGTTTTCACTCGTGTTTCCGCTAATGATATAATAGAAACTTAAAGTCATGGTAATCGTCAATGGTATATAGTGAACTTCAAATCATAGTAACCGTCAATGGTATATAGTGAACTTCAAATGATAGTAACCGACAATGGTATTGTGAACTTTAAGTCATGGTCACCGTCAATGGTATAGTGAACTCTAAGTCATGGTAACCGTCAATGGTAAAGTGAACTTTAAGTCATGGTAACCGTCAATGGTATAGTTTACTTTAAGTCATGGTCACCGTCAATGGTAAAGTGAACTTTAAGTCATGATAACCGTCAATGGTATAGTGAACTTTAAGTCATGGTAACCGTCAATGGAATAGTGAACTTTAAGTCATGGTCACCGTCAATGGTATGGTGAACTTTAAGTCATGGTAACCGTCAATGGTGTAGTGAACTTTAAGTCATGGTAACCGACAATGGTATTGTGAACTTTAAGTCATGGTCACCGTCAATGGTATAGTGAACGTTAAGTCATGGTAACCGTCAATGGTATAGTGAACTTTAGGTCATAGTAGGTGTAAATGGTATAGTGAACTTTAAGTCATGTTAACCGGCAATGGTATAGTATTGTTTTATCCGTGTGTATTGTAAAAGATATAATGGAACTTCAAGTCATGTTTACCGTCAATGAAAATTTTGTAAATATATGTCGACAAACCACCACGATGTCGATAACAACAAGGACATTCCATTCATAACTTAACAGGAAGTATACTATTGCTGTTGTTTTATTTTATATTTATTTTTCTCAAACGGGAAATCGAGCAAATCTCAAAAACAAGTTCAAATACTTTGAAACCACTCCTTAACTCAGAACGTCTGTTATATTGTTTTTGTTTGACCATTGGGAGCAGTATAAGCACGGGTTTACATACAGATGTTACGTGTTTGTTTGTGAGAATGTTGTATATACTGCGCTAATACGATTATACCCGTCGTGCTGCCTTTGCCAACACAATATGTACATGTAAATAAGTATGTGACACGGCCCCACGTACATGTACATATTGCAACGAATTCATTAAACTTCAAAGGGTTAACTCTAGTTAAGAATTCAAGACACGTCATCGTCTGGGAACGTAAACAATTTTCAAACAGGTTCTCTTAATTTTCTCGCATCTCCTATGTTCCTATAATTTTTGGAGGATTTCCTTTCAAATATTTCTTTTGTTAATATTCGGCCCTGGTTTCATCACATTCGAGTTCCCAGTGGATGACACTTTGGATGGCTGCCGGTGGACAGTTTTGACCTAGATTGTACTCGGCACCCAGTAGCATTGGTTTTACGGACTACACTAAACTGATACTGGCTCATGAGGAGCCAAGATTTATAGTCATGTTTTAGGAAGAATAAGTACATGTACACAAGAGTTAAATATTTCAAAATGAAACAGGAAACTGTAAACCCTGCCGTATACTTACTACTGACAGGACTTTCAGTAGTTCAATCACTGAAAAAAATAGAATATGCGACCAGAAGCGTTCAAACCCTGAATGGTAAGGCCACCAATGTCAATGTCATTAAATTATTTCTTTTGTTAGAAATATGTTGGTGAAACAAAAGAACAATTACGACTGCAAGGAATTTGCGAAATCCGGGATATGGTCATACAAATGTAGTATCTTTGTTCACAACTCAGAGGAGACGTTATAGTAGCTATGGATATGGACATTATACCAGTCTTATTGAACACAAAACTCCAGACAATGACCAAAACGGAAGTATTGACTTCCACTCACTATTATAATAATCAAGTAGATAGTATCTCCCTGATCTTTAAACAGTACAATCCTAGGAATCTTAATGTAATACTTTGTCAAATCAGGCACAAAGCAAGTGCCTTAAACTATGATAAATTTACTGACCACCTTATTCAAGATGGCAGTTGTTCTTGTGGAGCACCGCGTGAAGATGCTGATCATTATTTTCTTTTTCTGTCCAAATTATTCTGATTTCAGACGGGATTTTTATTAAATATATAATATAGTAGGATTTATTAGTCTGAAATTACTTACATCAGGAGATAATGAGCTATCACCTGAAACTAATAATTATGTATTATCTAAAGTTGAGAAATGTATTGATTTAACTAATAGATTCATCTAACTCGAATATGATTAGTATATTTTTATTAAGTACTTCCCGTTATATCAATCTGCTCCGATTATAGGTGTGTGTGTGTGTGTGTGTGTTTGCGTGTGTGTTTAGAAGTATGTATGTTGCCAACGTGTGTAGTTTAAACATTCATCCATATAATTAATTCAAACATATATACATTTTTTCCATACAAATGTCCATCTATTTTAACAAGTTATTAATTATCGGTAATTTTGTAAATATATCTTATTATTCTGTGTAAATATATATATGTTGTACCGGTGCAGGAGAAGACTAATATAGACACTGCCTGTTGTCTAATCCTTTTGTAAATACAATAAAATTTGTTGAAACCAAACCTGTTTGTCTTCCGTGTACTTGTATACCTGTGACCATACAAAAGTAAAAATACCTAATCCTAGTTTGATTAAATTTTACAAGGATTGGGGAAAAAAATAGAATGCGTTATTGTAAAAAATAAATGTTGGTGCGACTGTAACCCTTGTAAAAAATCCTTAATTTAAAAATGGTTTACAACAAGGAGTTAAACACACCCCTTACTGTAGAGAATTTTACATTAAAAGTTCCTTTGGCAACCTTTAATCCCTTATTTTCAAAAATATTGTTTCCACATTGAGGGTTAATTTGATAAAAATGTTTGTTGCAGTAAACTGACGAAACCGC